ATGGACCATGTTGGCCCTGTGACCACGGAATGATGCTTTTGTCATTAGCTTTATACCATGGACACATTTTGCCCATTTTTATGATGATTCAACCCAGCTTGCTTAGAATGCCGCTAAACATTCTAGAAGGAAAGGGGTAAACTTATTCTCCGCAGTAGCTGAGATTGGTACAGTATCTTCTCTGTTGGTCTCTAAGGGGAGCACTATTTAATTTCAGTTAACATATGTAAAGTGCTTTGAGGAGGAAAATCCAATGCCAAGTATGATTTCCTTTAATTAACTTTGAGCTGATTCTGGTGCATTAATGACTCTGTTCACATTCCATGCAGCCAGGGGGACGAGAGTAAGGCCACCACGCTCATTTCATTTATGAGACTTCCACTCGACTTGAAACCACATCTCGCTATGATACTCTCTTATTAATTAACAATGCCCCTCTAGCCCTAGGAAGGCCTGGCTTTTAAAGTCCTACTCGAATGCACAAGCAGGAAAACAAGCACTGACTTCCCTCCCCAGCCGGTGCTATAAAAGGACTGCTGCTGATCAAGACGCATGGATCCGCGCAATGAAATGAGCCAAGTGAGAAGCAGCCATGTAACAGCTGCAGCATACAGGGCCGGCCCATAACTTTTTGGCACCTGAGGTGGGGAGCTCAAAGGATGCCCCCATGCCCCTTCGTTTGGGCCAAAACTTTGAAAGGTCTCAATTCTGTGGGTCCTAGTGGTGCTCCCCTCTCCCCCCACAGTCTGGCACCTGAGGTGGCCGCCTCAGTTCGCCTCATGGTAAGGCCAGCCCTGGTAGTATGAGCTCACCCTCCCCCCCACTGTTGAGGGGGGGTGTTGATATGGGGAAAGGGAGCTGCTCAGGCTGGAGCCTGGGATGAAGGATCCTCTTCTCCCCCTTCCCCCTCCAGTCACAGGGTTCAACAGCTCAGGGTCCAGCTCAATCCTGAATGTGCACACAGGCACTTTACAGCCCCATGGGCCTGCATCCACTAACATAGGCTGGCTGTGGTTGTTTTGTTGCTGGATATACCCTCGTTTTCTTCATTGTGCCACCTGCAGTCAACTTAGGCCTAGCTGTGCTCTTCTGGGGTCTGCTGTGGTCGTGAGGAAATGCTTTGCTGCAGATGGATCATATTGCCCCTCGGCAGGGATCCAATTTTGCTGTACTCAAGACTGGAGCTTTTGTTTTATGTAGCGAGAGAGCCAACCAGTCAAGGGACAAAGAACCCCTGAAAGCCTATGGCTAGATCATATGCCAAAAGATGGGGTACTTGTATGGCTCGTCCAAGATTCTACGGCCCACAATGGTGAGGTTTTTGTAGATGTTGCTGTCTGAGACCCATGGGTAGCATTTTTCATCTGAGGACCTTTGCAGAGATGAGCTGTGAAAGCCTGCCAGGACTGCTGGGGATGTAGGTATGTGTTTTCCAGGAGGCAGACTGAGGGGCAGAGAAATTAAGCGGCTTACCCAGGTTCACATAGTGAACTAGTAGTGGAGCAAGATGAGATCCCAGGAGATCTGTTTGTAACCATTAAGCAGTGCTCATTGGGTTCCACTACAGCCTTGTGTGGAATACAGTGTCTCATACAGAAAAGAAGAGAAACACCAGCTATTAAACTCTGGCCTCTGCTCTGCTTCATATACCTGTGGAAAAATGCCTATTCTTTCTCTCAAATCCACCAGGAAAGAATTTGTTTGACTCACACTTGGGCTAGAATAATTGCTTCTGGCTGATGTATAATTGGCCACCGGTAATTGTTTATTCCCCATTGAAAACCCACACTGAACTGTAGTCCACAGACCTAATCACTGAACCAAACTGCTGGTCTCTGTCTTACCATTTTTGGCTGCACAGATGTGCACTGACTAAAACTAATGTTGGAAATAGTATTGTGTGTGGTCAGTGTTCTGAGTTTTGGGTGAAATATCAAAGTTGTTATGACCTGAAATTAAAATAATTGTGAGTAAATAGGGAAGGGGAGTGAATTTTTATAGCAATTACTTGGATAGATTGGTGGACTCATTTGACAGACATTAAGTTTCATCTGCTGTCCAGGATCTCTCATGTTCTTTCACTCAGGCCTTTGGGTGTATTTGCCTCTTTGGTAATGGGAACTTTTTTCCTATGATGGGAAGGATTCTTTGGCCCTGGGAGACTTTCTGTTCCTGTGTATAGGAGAAATTGGCTTTTCATTGGGAATAAATGTTAAAAATATAGAGCCAGATTTTGATCTCCATTGCACTAGGGTAAAGCTAACTAGAGTGGAATTTATTTTGTGGAGTGTGATTGCTATAAGAAGCTTCCCTATTGTCCCTGGTTCCAGAACAATTATTCTCCCCTTGCTTCTCTGCAGGCTAATAAAATAAACAACCCAAGGACTGGTAATCATTCAGACTGGTAATCACTGTCTCATTTATATTGCTTTGTTGATGAAATCTAGAGGAAACTTCTAGCCCTGTCCTCCATAATCCTCCTCCGCCACCGCATGCTCGTTGCCACCTGCATGGGGTGGTTAAATTGTGATGATGCTTGTGGTTTATGAGCTCACTTGGTTCGCTCTGCTCTGTCCACAGCCATGCTCACTAAATCGGGGGGAATTTTCATGCTATACCATCTAGGGGCCAGACTGGACCTATGAGCTACAGGCCTCCTCTAATGGCCTCCCCTTCAGGTCTGATGAGTGACACCAACCACTGACATGTGACCAAAGATCGACATGAGTAATAACCGTGTTTCATTACATGCCGTGCCATAGCTGATAGATTCCTTATGTATTCTTAACCATAAACCCCTTGTTAAGGATTTAGGAAATCCTCGCTGTGTGAATCAAATAAAATGGTTCTGTAGAAATGAAAGAAATGAAAAAAAGCTGGTTTTTGAACTGGCTTTCCTTGCAGACCAGCTCCCGCCTGGCACCCCATGAAGAGTAGCTGGGAATTCCTTGGGAGTGGAGATGGAATGCACTGGCTGCTAGCCTCACTCCCGGGAACTACCGAATAGTTGACTAACCGATAAGAATTCATGAGGTTATTCGACTATTCAATTAACTGATATTTAACATCCCTAATATACACATCACAGGACTCTGTGTCAGCTCTTACTAAATACAGTACATGTACATATCTCACAAGTAAGGCAAGCTAGGAAGTTAGAATTAGATAGAGGAACTATAAAATAAAATGATAAAGGTCTGTAAAATCAGACCAGTGTAGAGAAAGTAGATAAAGAAAAATTATTTACTTGCTCCCAGAACACAAGAACTAGGGATCAGCCAATGAAATTAATAGGTGGCAGGTTGAAACAAACAAAAGGAAGTATTTCTTCACACAACACAGCCAACATGTGGAACTCCATGCCAGAGGATATTGTGCAGACCAGGACTTTAACAGGGTTCAAAAAAGAACTAGATAAATTCACAGAGAATAGATCCATCAATGACTATTAGTCAAGATGGATAGGAATGGTGCTCCTACCCATATCCTCTGTTTCACAAGCTGGGAATGGGTGACAAGGGAGGATCAACTTGATGATGACCTATTCTGTTCATTTTCTCTGGGACACCTGGCACTGGCCACTGTTGGAAGACAAAATACTGGTCTAGATGAACCTTTGTTTGACTGTTTTTTTTATTGTCTTAAGTTAGTGGATATTTGTGAAATGTGGCTCTCCCAGTAGCTGCATATTCAGATGTAGCCTTCTAATAATACGTATCGCTTCAATAAGTGTAGATAATATTTGTAATTCTTACTATTTGGCCAGATAACCCTAGTTGATCTAATCATCCCTTCTGATCTTAAACTCTGTGAATCATGTACGCTTAAACTGGTGTGTGTAGTTACCATGATTCAAAGTGTAACTCTGTAACCATGCAAAAACAAGGCCTGAATTGTATGTAAAGTGAAAACTCTTGCCTACATTATATAATCCTGAAGGGAGTCCAGATTACAGCCAAGATTAGAATGGAAAAGTTTCTGCCTTCTAGTTTAGCATTCAAGTCGCTAGATCACATCTTTAGAACCAGTCCCAAAAAAAGTGAAAACTTTCAAAAGAAACAAAAATGTTTTGGCTTGCATTTTTTTTGTCTTCTCAGCAAAAAAATTAATCAGATGGTCAAACATACAATGAATGTTTGAAATGCCTAGAGGGAAAGAAACACTCATGCTTTCTTGTATTTTTTCATCACTGGAAAAAGAGAGAACAAAGTTTAAAAATAAGAAAGAGTAGGATTTTCCCCCACCAAACAGAATGAAAATGTCAATATTTTTGTAGATAATTGTTTTGACCAAAACACAAATATTCTGCAAAATTTTTTTGTCACTTTTTCAGTGAAAAGATTTTTTTTTAAATCTAGTTCCATTAGTAATATCTTATTAGCCTTACTAACAAAAGTGATTAACACACAATGTTTTTATTTAAAAAATGTATACATAGGATTTGAATACCAATAGCAGGAAAACATTTAATTTTATTCAAACAGTTTAAAAATAGAAACACAAAACCTATATACTTTTCTCTGGATTTTATTTTTGACTGAGTAAAACTCCATTGATGGTTTTTAGGATGCTAAGAAAATCTCCAGTCTGTAATAGTACAATTTCTGGAGAACTATTTCAGCCTGAATTATGCTGAAACAACAAGCAGATGCTTTGAAGCTGCTGCTTCTTAGAGAGAAATCAAACTCTTACAAAATGCTAGTATTATTTCAGGCAAAAAATATATGCATCTGTCTTCCAAGCGGAGCAGAATTGGAAGATATCTAAGCTTCAGCTGCTTCTGAGAAACCAAAGCAACAGTTAAGTCTCAAGTTCAGGTCAAATGGTTGCATAAAAGTTGGTACAGGTTCCCTCTAGGTCCTAATGCAAGGATGGTCCCAATCTGGTCTGTGGTAAGGATGTTAAATATCGGGTAATTGACTAATCAAATAGTCGATGCATTTTTGCATTGAATATTCGATTAGTTGATAGGGAAGTGTAACAACAACCCTAGGGCTGTTGCTACACTTCAAAGGTAAGAGCGCCGAAGCCCAGGATCAGCTGGGGAACCCCCACTCACTCTGGGCTCCATGCAGCACTGCCACTTTGAAATGCCGCGAGGAGCCTGACGCCAAGCTCCTTGCAGCATTCAAAGCAGCAGCGCCGCATGGAGCAGCTGACCCTGGGTTTTGTGTGGCACTGCCGCTTTGAAGTACCCCCTCCATCTGATACAGGCAGCAAAGGGGGGGGGGGGTGACTAGTCAACTGACTTATTGGATAGTCGACTAGTCCTTCACATCCCTAGTTCTCGTCAGTAGAAAAGAGCAGCCAATGGAGACTACATATCCCAGCATGCTATGTTATGTCATGCTCTGGGCAGTCTGGTAAGGCTTGGGGGTTCAGATCAAGCATTGCATGCAGGGACCTGTGATTCCCTGGCCCACATTCTTGGCATAAAGATAAGCTGCTGACTTTTTACTCAAGTCAGGTGTACCCATGGCAAATTGTCAGTGTTGCCCTTGGTTGGGCAAAGTCCGGCTGCCCCTGTCCTCAAGTTGAAAATATTAAGTGTATTTGTATTCATGTCACATAAATTGATTATAAAATAAATATTAAAAAGGGGGGACAGCATAAAGAACACCTTCCTTTACTATCTTTTTCTACTACCCTGCCATAGCCTATTGATAGTAAGCAGAGTGAGTTGGCTAAACCATTCCCACCCATGAACTGAAATATGTACACAAGATTGGCATCTTTGTCAACCAATAAGATTGCTGCCTTAACCTAAGCCATTTTAATAATTCCATTTCTAATCTCTTTTAGCGGTGCCCAATTAAGAATGTTGGGAAACATATTTTAAGGGTGACAACCACCAAGAAACAGGATTTACTTAATATTTTAAGAAATTAGACTATCAAATGTTTAATAAAAATATTTTCTATAAGACTTTTAAAATATATACACATTTAAAACTGACTTAATGTTAATGCCCTGCTGATATTGACATGATCCCTACAGTATCTAAACTTAGGTAAATGAGGTTGCCCAGCAACCTCCATCTTGTCTCAAGACAGTGATCACAAGACCGGTGACCTTGTCTACCTTGAAAATTGAAGCCTGCTTGAAAACTGGATTGAATTTTTTTTTTCTGATCCTGATTCACCTCCCATTAGAAATCAGTACCAAGATTGCCATTGACGGTGAGCATTAGATCAGCTCCCGGACACATTTCCAGGTAACCTGTTTTTAAACACACTCGTGCTAGGCAGTGAAAATGAAGCCAAAGTGTATTGATGCTGCTTTTAAGGCTATTTCCCTGTGAGGCTCTTTGGAAGCACCCTTCAGATGGTTTGGTCCGGTCTACAGTGTCCAGTGAAATCTAGTGGAGATCCTGCTTATCTAGAACTGTACCTAAACAAAGTTCTGATTTGTTTTCATTCATGGTTCAAATGCCAATGTAGACAAGGTGTGAGGGCCACATCCTACACTCTAATGCAGGCAAAACTCCCACTGGTGTATTTGGTTGTGTAACAAATGTGGGATTGGGTCCTAAGTCACCAATATCATTGGCCTGTGTCTTAACCCTTGGATTATACTTTAAGGTAGGTAGCATGAGAGTTCTCTTGCTTTAAAGAGTTAATATGGGGGATTTGGCCTCCTGCAGAGGAGAGCTTCTCATTGAGCTTTCGGTTTATCTGCTCCATGTGCCTGTTGTTCTTCCTGGCTTGCCGGAGGGACCTCTTGACTTTCTTCACCCGGTCTCGCAGCTGCTTGTTACGTTTCTCCAAGGTTGCCACCTTCTGCTGCAGTTTCTTCACTTGATCCTCTTCCTCGAACAGGGCTTTCTGAACCGAAGAGCACATGAGCTGAGGGAAGAGTAGAAAGGAAAGAGGACACATGAGCTCTAAAGCAAAGTCAGGAAACCACTGGAGCATGTAAATTCCCTAGACATTCTCTTGATCTCTATACCCCCCAGTAATATATACTATTCCTAACTGGATAATTGTTTTCAGAAGCTCCTCTCCATCTTTCAGTTTTCACCTAAAAGTCCCCTTTCTCTGTCGTATCTGAAAATAAGAACCACCTAGTTCAGATCTTAAGAACATTACCTATCAACATCACTTTAATGAGCACTATAAGGTTAGCCTAGAACGGGGGGTTTCAACCTTTTTTTTCATTTGCAGATCCCTAAAAAAGTTCAAATGGAGGTGTGGGCCCCTTTGGAAACCTCAGACATAATCTGTGGAGCCTCCCATCATCGTCCATGGACCATAGGTTACAAACTACTGGTCTAGGTCACTATGGCACTTAGTTTAACTTAAGGAGACCTGCCCTGTTTCTACTGTGTGTTTCAGTTCTGGGATTTGAATTCAGTCCATTGGATTCTGCCGGTTGCAAAATACATAATCAGACCCAGATTTTTTTTTTAAACTCGTCTGAAGTTCCAGGTTTTGGTTCTAGTCTGCCCCTTGTTCTTTAAGAGAACTGGAAGGGGATGGCACAATTATCTAAATCTCACACTTGACGTGCTTCCATTGCCTGGAACCACAAGGTCAAATCCTGGCAAGTTTGGAGTCTGCCCTTCCAAAGTTTAACAAAACCCCAGATTTTATGCGGTTCATTATGTAGAGGTCTTTTAGATAAGACCTTACAAAGCAAGATCATGTCATCTTAGTTTGCATATTAACACACCCAAGGCCTTCAGAGTAGAAATGGGTCCTTGGTCAAAAACCATCTTCCCCCCCCACCCCCAATCCCACCCCACTGATACACAGCATGCAATGCACCAGCTGACGGCTGCATTTTAGTGCTCCTCACACTCCTGCAGTCCTTATTCAGGTAAAATTCCTATTGACTTTGGCAG